GAACAATAGAGATAATTATTTATTAGGGCTGTGTATCGCCAACAAAGTCACGATACGATACGTATCCAGATACAGAGGCCAGTCAGCCCACGATACGATACGTATCACGATACGGGACTGCACTGAATTTCACCTCAGCAGAATTTAGTAAAACAGCTGTTTATTAAATACTGCATACCATAGTGCCATTTCTAACTATTGGCAGAGCAGGCAGCTGAGCTCTTCATTTTGAAGAGCCTCCATAACTGTACCACAGTACAATACAGGTAATGGCATATGTTTCCTGTTTACATTGTGCACTCCCCACCAGGTACAATATTCTGATTGTTTGCATCTTGTTTTTAAGCCCATAAATAATAATGCACTCATTCTAATACATTTATATTGTAATGTACTCATTCTAATATATTCAAAAATCATATTTACATTGCTGGTAGGTTATATTTGCACAAATGAACACACTCTCTATGATTAAAAAATAAAAATAAAAATGAGAAGAGTTCTAAACGAATGCGCTGTCTTCTGTATCTAACGCGCACACACTCAGTCACTCATGCAGATCACGCTGCGGCCACACTCAGACATTCAGGAACATCATATTTTATCAATAAAATAGCTTAATCGCTCATGAGTTACATTATCTTTCTCAACAAGGTGCTGGTAACATCGTTGTTTCTAAAGGAATTAAAGCCACAGCTTCACTGTTAATAGAGATGAATTACACTTTTCTGAGAATAGAATATTGAAGTGGAGATCGCTAAACTGCAAGCTAACCGCTGTTTTCAGAAAGCAAGCGCGTTTATCCACAGTGGAGAGAGAGCGCGTGCACAGGGTTGCCAGGTTGACAAAGATAAGTAACACTTATTTCCGTATTGTGCAAGTGGGAAGTTTCGGGGTTTGCGTCTCTTTATATCAGTCAACCCCGGTTGTGTTCCTCTGCGGCCAGATTAAACCTTGTTGTAGCCTATATATTATGCTCTATTCATTTTTTTTAGAAACCTCGCACTTCTGCTCAATTTTAAACGTTGTTCTTGTATTCAAAATAAGCGCGGTCCACTGCTGCACACGTGCCACAATATCGATACAGGGACAGCTGTATCGTCAAATCTATCTATCGTCAAATCTCTGTGACGATACATCGTCGTATCGATGTATCGAACACAGCACTACAGTACACACACATATATTATGTAAACAAAAACATTTATTTTGGATGCGATTAATCGCGATTAATCATTTGACAGCACTAAATATTATAATTACATTTTATTTATACATTTATTTATATATTTATATTTAGCATTTTTATTATTTTTAACATTAAATTAACATTTAATTTAACATTAAATACATTTTTAACATTAAATTAACATTTCATTTTTGTAATATTAATATTTTTATTTTGTAATAAATATATTTTTGAATTAATATTTAAATATTGTAATATTTTTATAGCATTTGTATTAGTTTTTTATCATTAATAATTTTATATTTTTATCTGAAGTTTTTTTATTTTTTTTACAAATATTTCTATTTAGCTTTAATTTCAGCTTTAGTTTGAGTAATTTTATTATCACAACTTTTATTTTTTAATTTCACAAGAATATGAAAATGAATTTCTTGATTTTTTTTTTTTACGATAGTTACAGTCACGCACCAGTGTTATTTTATTATTAGTTCACAATGGAGGCTCCCTTACCGCCTCCTCCGCACCACCAGAGGGAACCGTCTCCCGAATATTAGACATATTAGACAGGACTCCAAATCCCATCACCCCTCATGCCTGGGACTGATTAATCATCCACACCTGCACCTCATATACACACACACATATAAACCACTCACACACACAGACTCTCTGCGAAGTCTTGATTTGCCCTGGCTGTCATTTCCGAGCGTTATACCCGTGTTTGATTTTCTGTGCATCTGTTATTGGACTGTTTCCAGTTACTCTGATTGTTATCTGCCTGCCCCGACTTGGATTGTTTCCCCTGGACTCTGATTGCTTGCCGCCTGCCCCGATCTCTCGCCTGGTACTCGACTCTGTCTCAGCCTTGTCTCTGCTGTTCTACCTTGCCGGTATTTGACCTTGTATTGTCTGACCATTCTAATAAAAGCTGCAAATGGATCCACACGCTTCTGACTCGTCACAACAGAAGACTTCGCCACACAGCGATCCAGCAGCGGTCGTGCAACTATCTTCAGAGCTAGCGGCACAGGCTTCACAGCTCGCTATGCACCAACACCAGCTCAACCGGCTTACGACTTTAACCGAGGAGCTGGTCAAAGCACTGCAAGGGCTCAACCTAGCGTCACCCGCAGCCGCCTCTCAACAGCCGCCCACTCACAGTAACCCTCCACCATCTCAGACACCCCCAATCAGTCCACGACTCGCTTTCCCCGAAAAATTTGATGGTGAACCTGCCAGATGCAAAGGCCTCCTACTCCAGTGCTCGCTATTTGTTAACCAACAGCCCTCGCTGTACCCCACAGACTCTAGCCG